AATAATAATAATATTGATGAAAAATCTCAAAATCTGGTCCAAAAAACAAAACAAAACAACACACAAAACAAAAAACAAAACAAAACACAAAACAAAACAACACACAAAACAAAAAAAACAAAAAACAAAAAAAAACAAAAAAACAAAACAAAACAAAACAAAACAACAGGCTTCTATTTATAAATTAATACAATCTTAAAACTCCATGGGCACACATATAATGAATATTTTTAGTATGAATGAAACATACAATGAATTTTTTTTAGTTATGCCAAGTTATGAAATCTTTTATTGAGAAGAAATTGTGAGTAAAACAATATTTTTTAAAATCCTTGGAGTCAGAAAGGTTGAAAACCATTGATCTAGATAAACTCAAAGCTAATATTCATGTACTAAAAGTCACAAAATTCCAATAACAGTTTCTCAGAGTCTATATTTATATCCCCATTACTGAGAGTCATGATATGACAGGGAAAACGTGTCATGCATTTAAATGTTATTAGTTTCCTAAATGCTGGTGGCATGAAACAACAGCACTGAAAGTGAGCAATAAGTTCAAACATCTGGGATTTCTGGAGCACCATTAAAGTGAGTCTTAATGGAGACTTTATGGTTCAAGGATGGTTCGTTTTAATGGCTTCTTAAATGAGTGTATGAGCTCATGGCCGCATGCAGCTCTGACTCAAATGGAGAAAATGCCCCTTCATATCATTATGAGTAGTGATTAAATGATTCATTCCTCTGTTTTAAATATGAGAGAGAGAGACTATGAAACAAGCAGCATGACCGTATAACCCTGGTACCTAGGACCTCCTTTAGGAATAAACCACCGTGTGAACATCTTACCGCAGTAAATCTGTTGACTTAATGATTGAGCAGCTAGTACAGAGATACAGTTTACTCTTAGCTTTACTGTCAGTTATTAAACTGATGAGAGTGTTTCAAGTATTTATCATCTATGGTATTTCAACACTTTTCTTGCACTTTGCTTTATAGCACTTCATAAATATGGCTCTGAATTGCTTCCACGTCCTGGGAAGATGTGTTTATAAGGTAATGAAACGGACCTAAATTCCTTTGCCTAGTAAGGCATCAAAAAATACATCTTTGTTGTATTTTCTGTCTCAAATTCTTGCCATTTTTTGGCAGTCTGAAGAGAAAAATAAGTAAATGCATATCTAATTATTAAAATAATTAATTAACAAAAAGAAAACTAAACATAAAAAATAATTGTAAATTTTTTTTAATAAAATTACAACACCCTAATAATAATAATACTAAATTAACTGTCCAAAAATTGTTTTTTTTCGTATATGCAAACATAATGTTCTGAACATAAATTTTTATTTCTTAAAATTTTCTCTTCAGTAAAGTTCATATTTAAACACTTCACACTTTAAACAAATGAACAAGACTAATTAAGATTGTGATTATTGTATTATTTACAGGTGCATCTCAATAAATTAGAATGTCGTGG